TTTCCCAGTTTATAACAGCACCAGTAGCGTGGCAAAACCTTTTAGCCAAAGTTATGACTTCGGTAACGCTTTCTTTGTCCCTACAAAAAACAGCAATGTCATCGGCGTAACTCATTATTTTTACTTCTGCATTATAAAATTGGAAACCTCGGACGCGTTGACTATTTTTTACGCTTAAACAGAAAAGCTCTAAATACAAATCAAACAAAAGGGGAGACATAGGGCAACCTTGTCGTACCGACTCTCGCACGTTAATAACAGAACTGAGCTCTTTGTTCACTATAAGCCTTGTTGTACAGTCGTTATAGGCCATTTTTACACCCTTTTAGGATGGCGTCACCAACATTGACATGACTCAAAACATCAAAGAGTACATCATGGCTAACACGGTCGAATGCCTTATCTAGATCTATCTGTAGCACTGCAACCTGCGTGGTGCTGTCACTGCAGGCCTCCAGGACGCTACGAGCCACAAGCACATTTGTCAAGATAGTCCTCCCCTGTATCCCACACGTTTGATGCTCGCTTATTATCTCACATGCGACACCTTGAAGACGACGCGCCAGAATTTTCGCGAAGATCTTGTAATCGGTATTGCATAGCGTTATTGGGCGATAACCGGTGACGCTGCGCAGTTTCACGGGGTCATCAGATTTCGGTATCAGGACAGTGTAGGCACGAGAAAACGAAAAGGGCAAACATTCTCTTTCATAGGCAGTATGTATCACGTTCAAAAAAACACTAGCTATTAGGCTCTTAAAGTTCTTGTAAAATTCTGCGCCCAATCCATCCGGTCCCGGCGTCTTAGAGTTCGGCAGGTCGTCGATTGCGCGCTCCACTTCTTGGATCGTAATTTCTTGCTCAAGCTCTTCGCGTTCATCATTTGATAGCCTTGGCAGTTTTTCTAAAAGCTGGGCATAAATGTCCGTATGACACCCTTGCGTTTTGTTAGCAAAAAGCTGTGCGTAATGCTCGAGGAAGGCCTGTGCTATTTTCTCGGGATCCGTAGTAATCATTTGCTTGAATTCAATTTCGGCTATTTCGTTCCGAAGTGCGTAACGCTTCTCGTCTGCCAAGGCACGCTTAGTGGGCTGCTCGCCCATTGTGTATTTTTCTGCACGGGCGCGCACTACTGCACCACGATAGCGCTCGCGGTGGAGCTGATCTAATTTTTCTCTGACATACTCGACGTCTTTTACCCCATTGCCGGGTCTTTCGCACTCTGCCTTTACATAGCTCTATCAAGTCCTTGTTTAAACTGCGTTCCTCACACCGGGCGTTGTACGAAAGAATTGATGACCTCTCAATGGCGATTGCCTTAATTTCTTGTTTTGCCAGTTCCCATTTCTCGAAAATGTCCACTCCCGGCTCTTTAAAAGCATCTTTCAAAAACTGTTCTACATTTTTTTGAAAGACGTTGTCTTTCAGAAGCTTTATGTTTAGTTTCCATAAGTTCCAATTAAACTTTTTCTTTTCAGGTGCTCTGTCGCCTATCGTCGCGATAACCAGACTGTGGTCTGAGAAAAAGACTGGAGCGACACGGTACTTTCCTAAATGTTCTGCTAGAGGGGCAGAAACATACACCCTGTCCAAACGCGCACTGGACGACGCTTGAAAATGGGTAAAGCGCATTTCCTTCTTCGCGTTTTTTACAGTGCCCACACCAATCAGGTCATAATCCTCCAACATTTCGCCCAAAAGTAGTTCACTCTTATCAGCGTTCCGTCTTATTGGCGATCTATCCAACTGTCGTACAACACAATTAAAGTCACCCACAAGGGCTAGAGCTCTATCGCAATCAAGATACCGACGTAAACCGCCAAAAAATAAAACGCGGTCAGTGGTCACATTTGGGGCGTAAATGCAAATAAGCCTGAATTGATTTGACGTTAGCACAAAATCACACATAATGAAACGTCCTTCAGTGTCCGTAGTAACGCATAACTGCGACAACGGTACCGACTTTTTCAGAAGCAGGAAACACCCTGCCGATTGACCAACTGCATGCGTCACACAGATTTCGTAGTTAGGCATGAAAGGTCTGACTGCTTCCTCTACCTGTTCCGCCTCAGGCCAATTTAGTTTCCTGCAACGCCAAGAAATCGGGTTGCTCTTTCGACAATAATCGCTGTATTTGGTACTGCTTTTTTCTAGTGCATAAACCACGAACATTCAGCGTTGCAACTGTAATGGCTGATTGGGACTCACAAATCATGCGCTGTGCTTCGGTGCAGACACTAAAAACCTAAGCAGTCAGGGTCCAAGTTGTCTTGATTCAGCAATCTTAACACCAGGAAACCAGGCAAAGAACGCCTTACTTGCTTTCCCTGCGCCGACGTTCCTCTTTAGGATCGTTGGGCGCGGGCTGGGTAACGCCCCTTCTTCGTGCGTTCCATCCAGGGGTGTAGTTGGCGTGCTCCGTTTCCTGCTGCCGTATCGTCATCGAAGGCTCGCTTAGTTGACTCGCTGGTGTCGTCCATATCTGAAGGTCCGTTGGTGCTTGCGTCGTTCGATTCCTTGTCTGCTCCGGCATCAGAGGGTTTCACGTCGGCACCGCTGGGAGGTGCGCCTTCCGGTTGACCTCCGTTCTCTCTCGCTGCCCCCCAAGGAGCTGCTTCCTTCACTCTTGCGTTCTTTGGCAGGGGTTGAAACTTCTGGCGCCAAGCCCTGGGTAGTACGCTCCGCTTCCTCGGCATCCATGGCGTGGTCATTGGTCTCGGCCTCGGCCGTCCCGGCCCCGCTGGCCACCCTGGCGTACGACCTGACACATTCGGTGCCATAATGCCCGAAGCGAAAACACTCCGAGCACTTCGGCGCCCTGCATTCTCGTCGAATATGACCTGTGCGCTTACAGCGTAAGCACAAGGGCGCCCGACCAGGGATCACAACAAGTACGTTACCACCTTGGATCCGAAGCTGGTGTGGCATGGTATCGGCCGTGCCGCCTTCGTTCAGTGTCATCGCGCACACCTTGTCGTTGATTCGATCCCTTGGAAGCCTTCAACATTCCACTTCTCCCGGCTCACTTCCAGGACCTTGCCATACGGCTCCAATTCCTTACGCACAACGTCGTCCGGCACATCATACGGGATCCAGTGGAGACGAAGCCGTACCTCCGTGATGCTGGGATCCACGACGAGGCACCGAAGACCCTTCACCTGCAGTTCTTTGGCGTCCACGAGTCGTCTCTTTGCTTCTGCCGTTCGAAGGGTAGCCATCCAAAACATGATTCATTTGGTACGCACCAAGTGCTGCGATGTCGCCGAGTACGCCGCACCTGGCCATCTCTTGTCGAAAATCTTGGATACGGTAGGGGCGCCCTTTCAAATCGCAATGCAGAAGCACCGATGTTTCACTCGTAATTCCTGTAGGCATCTGTGGTAAAACAATTTTATAGTCATCGTTCGTCGATTCACCGGAGTGATTAGAACCGCGGCCAGCAAGGGCCGTTGCAGACGCTTCCACGGAGCTCATGTTTCGAACGTCTTGCACGTTCGGCCCCGCGCCGCTCCACTCCCCTGCGCCAACTGAACAAGGAGGAACTCGCCCTCCTCCTTTCATCTGAACTGCCGTTCCTCCCTTCTCTGGGCAAACTTGTCCGCAACAAGAGGAACAGTCGCTTTTGCTACCTTTCTCCTCCTTTTTTCTTAGAGTGTAGGGTGCCACAAGTTCTAGGCGAGACAGTCATCGTCACTACCTGTCAAGGCTCTATAGGCGGGCATTAGCTTTAGCGGCATCCACCAGGTGCTCTTCGCTAATCGTTCAATTCGTTTTAAAATTCCTTTTCGTGTCTTTTTAAACAAGATATTGGTGTGTCCGATGTGTAACTGCTCCTTTGAACACGTATAGACCAAAAAAATAAGCAACGAAATTTCGTTGTAGTATCCCTATGAAGGTGCACTAAAGACGTTTCTGAGATCGGCTGTTCTTGGTGATAACTCATTCTACGGTATCTTAGCATCCTTGAGATCGAAATGTCGTGCAATGTCTATTTCCCCTACTAAAAATAATGTTAAAAAAATGTGATCGGAGTTCGTGCCACGCCCCTTTCTTAGTGGAAAAAATCTGGAGCACAGAATCCAGCGAAGGCGCCGGCGGCGGGACGACGGACGCGCGTCAGCC